CAGGCCAAATTGGAGGGGTCTTATCGGAACCGGGCAGTTTTTGAAGTGATTGCCAAAGAAATAGCTGAGCGCAACTACAGGCGGTCCGGGCTCCAGTGTCAATGAAAAATAAAGATCCTGCGAGCCAAATACAAAGAGGCTAAAGACACAAACAAACAAAGGGGCTGTGGTCGTGTAATCTGTCCATTTTGCGAAGAACTGGACCGTATTTTGGGAGACAAGACCAGCATTTGCACATGTGGGACACTTTTGGGGCATTTAAAGTTCACACTGGAGATCGCAAACAAGTCACATTTAATTGGAAATGTGAACGACCTTGCAAAAAAATCTGAATTGAGCATTAAGCCCTGCAGTCTGAATGTAGCCTCTGTAACTAATGTAGTGAGCTTTGTCATTTTGGCCTTAAAATGTTCATATTAAGCCACTCTACATGATCCTGGTGTTTTTATTTGGCTTTTTTGTCTGTAAATAAATTTGTATTGTATTGGCTCCAGTGTTCCTATAATGGGTTGCCTCTTGAGCTTCATTTGACTGGCTGACGTCAAACTCACTTAATCCACTTCTTTATACAGTCTATGGGTCAAACAGAGAAACCTTTAAGTTACCTGTGGCTGAGGGAGACCTACGTAGTATGCTAGAAACAAAATAAGCCTTTCCTTCATGCTTGGGGTAGTGTCGTCTCCAGTGATGGGAAGAAAACTTTGAAAATGTGCTTACTTAGTAACAGAATACTGAATACTCAAATGAAAATGTATTTTGTAACGTGTTCTGATACATGGTCCATCAGAGTACTGTTTACTTAGAATACTTTCACATTGCCTTTCACTATGTTAGACTGTAAAAAAAAACATGATACGTAATTACAAACAGCTTTATTTTTGCTGCACTGTGTCTTATGCATTCGTTCATGTTTAATTAGAGACAAAAATTACACATATTACACATGCATGCACTGCAAGAGCTGTGGGGTTTTTTCCCTTCACTAATACAAGGCAGTTCAAAGCCTAAACTGAATGATGAAGTTCCACAAATTATTTCCTTTTAATTTAGGAAAGTAACTGTACTCTAACAGTTACTCATCATTAATATTCAGTATATATAGGCCTACTTTAAAGGGACAGTTCAGAATTTTGGACATAGGACCTCATTTCCTAGTGAGCCAGAGTGTTGGAGATGTGTGCAGACACTTTTTTAAATATTCCATCCAGTCCTTGTATTTGGCTAGTGCATGTCAATGGCCATAGTTATCCTGCCACTAAAAACAGTCTTACTGACTCCACAAAACACCCAAAGCAAATCTATTATTACACCAGACTGTCGAAATAAATGTCTGTGTTAATAGAATAATGTTTGAAATAAAACTAACCTTGCATCGCATGAATTGTCGTATGTTAAGGGACTATTTTCTCATACATCAGTCCGCCGCTGCAAAGCTTTCTATTAGGAAGTACAACAGACATAAATCCTTCAAATGCAAGGTTAGTTTTACTTCTAAAATTATTCTGTCAACACAGATATTCACATCAACAGTCTGGTGCAATAATAGTTTTGCTTCGGGTGTTTTGTGGAGAGGGTAAGACTGTTTTTAGTGGCAGGATAACTATGGCCGTTGCACCAGCGACCTCTGCAAATACAAGGACTGGATGGAATATTTTAAAAAGTGTCTCCACACGTCTCCAACACTTTGGCTCACTAGGAAATGAGGCCCTATGTCCAAAATTCCGGACTGTCCCTTTAAGTACATGTATTCAGTTACTTCCAAACACAGTGCTCCTCTAAGTTGCTGCTAAATAAACCTATAAAGTGTAGCATTCATTCATACTGACACTAAAGTTGCTTGTTTTTATCAGTTTAGGAGTGACCCAGCAGCTAAATCAGGTTGCTCCACTGCTATTTTGTTTTAGCTTTGGTTTAGACAATGCAACTCTATGGATATTTTGCACTGTTGCTTTTAGATATTCAATGCTGAGCTGTATAGCCTAGGTCTAGTCCTCAAAAACTCAACAAAACCAGTTCACAAACATTTACAAATTGGCTTACAGACCCAGATTTGCCACCTTACCTTGGTTTGAGCACAGGGCATGCAATCAGGATGAAAGTGTAGGCTGAGAAGTTTCATCAAGTCTTGTGATTGTAAAAATTACCGTGAGTGTGACAGTAAATCTTCATCTGATGTGCGCTGACGTGTTGTTGTAAGTTCTAAACCCGGTAAATGTGAGCTTCTATCATGTCTGGAGTGAGGCCAGATGTGCAAATGGCTTCCAGAGCAGTACCGTGAGCACCGCGTCAGCCTTGAGCGAGGTGAGCGAGCACCGGGCTCTACTTCCTGTGCTTTAATTAGAACCAAATGAACGGGACCCCCAACACACACCCTAAGCCCAGTCTTAATTGACTTAATGCTTGAATGGCGGCCTGCGCGGCTGGAGCTGGGGAAAAGCCTCATTACCACTGCGCTTTTTAGGAGGACTACAAAATAAATCATAAACAGCCATGTAAACCAATATGGACTGTTAAAGACTCAGAGACTAATTAGGCCAATTGATTATCCTGCATAGTTTAAAGACTGCACAGTATAAAACAGCTTCCTTTTGGCAGTTTAATTTTTTAAGATGAGGCTATCAATGTAAACATGCTTACTTTATTAAAAGAGTCTACATTGAAAGTGAAAATAACTGAGCCCATTCCTTTCACTGAGATCACTTTGATTTAGGGTTTGGCTCCATCTGCTGGCAAAAGTGAAAACAAAGCCTGTTAAAATGGCTACTTAGAAGCACAGCTAAGCAGTATGAAACGAAGAGATTGGGATTGTAGTTAAGTCACTATAAGCACAGACATGATCAGAATGCATAATTCAGACTTAAAACTGTAAGGAAATCTTCATGTCAAGCTACCAGGAGATTGCAGAGCCTGATACACACACAGTAAAGCAGCTGGATGCAAAAAAATCAGAAAATGTAATTTGTGAAAGTGTTTATGGAGCCAATTTTGTGACTTATTAAATTTTTTTTTTTTTTTGTGTGTGTTTCTCAAAACGACTGTCACTCGATAGGCTAGATAGTTGTCTTAAAGGTGCACTATGTAACTTTTCTGCTGTTCACGAAGATGTTATTGCTCTGTCTAGGTCCCACAGTACGACATTAAACCTATTTTGTGGGCATATTTGCTTGTCAGAGGCTTGATTGGAGGCAAGGCTGGGCCTCGTTAGTAGGCTATGGATGGGAGACTGTTTGGAAATACAAAGTGACACAGTGAGGTTGTGTCCTTGGCACTTCACGCACATAGAAAGAATGTGCTGAGTGCAGGAGTGTTAATGGAGGGCCGACGGAATAGATTGGCAGCCACTTCCGTCGGTCTGCTCTGGGGCAGCTGAGGCTACATTAGTATCTTACCACCACCAAGTACAAAGTGAACTAAATAAATGCACTGTAAAGCACTTTTGGTGTCATAAATAGCCCTGCAGCAGAACTAGACACATATTTTGTTTGACTCTGACCGGCCCATTTGAGATAATTTGGAATTACAAAATAAATATATTTCATAATTTTTCCTCATGCATGGACTAAAGCTGCATTGCTTTTATTTTAGAGGTGTTTTTTTTTATAAGGCAACCTAACTTTTTCATGGCTTTGTCATAATATAAGTCTTACCAGTCTTACCAGTTTGTCAAAACAATGATATTTACTGCTTTTTATAAAGAAATGCAATTAAAAGTATGCCGAATTGAGTTAAGCATTTTGGCCAGGTGTCCACAATATTTTCTGTTTCTCATGTGGCCCCCATTGGAAAAATAATTGCCCACCCCTGCCCTATAAGTTATATAAATGCATAATTTTGATCTATCTCCATGGAGACAAACAGTTGATACCACCAAGTCAGATATGTGGAGAGCCAGCCTTGTTCACAATAAGAATGCATGTTTTTCAAGGTATTCTTCCATAATAAACACACCTGTAGCCTAGTGGAATAAATTCAAGATAGATTTAATGTCCTAACACCCCACGCAAACAAAACACATCTGCACAGAGACAGAGGCAGGAGTGGACTAAAGAAAAGTTATCCTACATATTGCCCTTTAAGGTAAGTCTTTTATTTTACGTGACTTGTGGGTTTATTTCTTTGCTTGTTTCATAATTAGATTAGCTTATCTTCTCTTGTGAAGCTGTAGAGTCTGTCTCCGGTGTTGTTTGTCCTCATTTGTGTTGTCCACAGCCGCCACCTGCATGTTTGATTAAACTGGACACGTCACTGACGCCCGCTCAAGCCAGGCTGCTGGAAACACGATAGTTTAATTATTAGAAATGTCACCAATGCAGCAGCATAAATTTCACTATAAACTGCAAATTGCCAAAAAAAAAAAATAAAAAAATAATAATTTTAAAGTCTCATGAACACACGCCCCATATTGCCAGTGTCTGGGCATTTAACTGTGAAATAAGTAATGGAAATGGGGAGAAATATTTTCTTCCATAATATGCTAAAAATGCATGTAATAACCCATTTAGGAAAAGATATCCTTTCTTGCTGTGACAAGAGTGGGAGAAGGCCTGTGTTATTGTGCCCTCTGTTGGAAAGAACCAAAACTCCAGTTGTGTATTTTCATATTGAAACTACATGACTGGAAATGAGGTGAAAACGACAAAATTAGGGTGAATACATTTGAATCTACTTTTGTATCGTGTAAAAACAGCTTGTACGTTGTAATGGAACAGACATGATTATCAGGAATGTAGTTTAGCAGGTTGAGTGCAATAACCAAAACAACTATCGCCAGGCGAGTCCATCTTTATTCAGTCCAATAGTTTCCCATGGTCAGTTTACATAAACATGCTTCAGTTCATGCAAAAATACCATCTTGAGGCTTGCAGCACATCTGATGTTGTAGTTATGTCCTTACTCACAAGCTGTTCAGTCATTTTAACGGGGGAAACCCTGCAAGTGTACTTAATTTGCCCAACAGCTCAAAATAGTGAAGCATCAAATAGAAAGGAATTAAACATGGCTGAAACAAATGCCCGTTAAGAGCTTTATTAAAACGACACTTTACATGGGAATGCCACAAAAAGCAGGTTAACACAATGGTAGCACCAAACAAAAGGCAAAAACACAAATGAGCTTCTTTGAAGCCACTTCTTAAAAAATACCCCAGGTGAGTAAATGCAAGCTCAACCATACAAATAACCCTACAGGCGTTCTACACTAAGACATTTAACCAATTGATGCAGACTTCGTCCTGAGATGGCACAACTTCAGAGCACTTCAGGTTATACGGTCTTCTGCTGGCCCTTCTTTCCAATCAGAGACTTGTGAATATGGGGAATGACACCTGAAAGAGACAACAGATGAGGATACAGGCTAAGTTTCAGTTTTATACATTTCAAAGACGACGTGTCTAGGGCTGAATAGAATCGACTGCTTACCTCCGCCAGCAATGGTAGCTTTGATGAGGGAATCCAGCTCTTCATCTCCTCTAATGGCCAGCTGCAAGTGGCGTGGAGTAATACGCTTCACTTTGAGATCCTTTGATGCATTTCCTGCCAATTCCAGCACCTACAAACACCAAATGCACTACATTAGAAATCAAATCTACACGAGCTGCAACCATTCATGCGGCTGAGAGGAATAATGGCCAAAACAGAAGATGTATTGTTTACCTCGGCAGTAAGGTACTCAAGAATAGCCGCGCTGTAGACGGCTGCAGTGGCTCCCACTCTGCCGTGGCTTGTGGTCCTAGACTTGAGATGTCTGTGGATACGGCCCACTGGAAACTACGACAAAAAGGAATCTATAAATATTGGACTTGTATAAAAGACAGTGGCCCGTTGATAGCCACGAAAAAAACAACATTAGCCCATGTTAGCATAGCCTAGCTCAGGGAAATGAATGAAACCTTGTACAAACCTGCAGTCCTGCTCTCTGTGAGCGCGAAATAGCCTTCGTCTTGGTCTTTCCGGAGTCCTTGCCTGCCTTTCCACCAGCCTGTAACACGTAACAATAAGCAGTGAGCAATACGTCTGGATTTTAAGACATAAGCAAATAACCGCCAGGATTAATTTTACCGCCCCATCTGATTCCGTAAGTGAACGCAAAAGCGACGACCTAGCATGCTAAAGCTAATGCTAACGGCTAACAGTTAGCTCGATTTACATACACCTACCGGATGCGGAAAAAACGAACAATTTCACTTCATCACATAAAGCAACACACACGGGCGTTAAAGTAGATATGTTAAGATTTACCATGTTTAAAATCTTCTGCGGGTTATGGACACTGAAGCGAAAACCTGATGTAGCCTACTGTTGAGCACCGAGTGTCGGTTTGAACTACAACCCCCGCCTTCAATTGTGATCAATATATAACCCGTATGCATCCGGGTAACTTCACAGAAAGCGCGAACCAATCGCGCTTTGGCTTGAGTGTCTTGGCAGAGGTTTCGACCAATCAGCAACTGATTACGTGACTTTGCGGGAAAAGCTTTGAGCTCCCGCGCAAACTCACATGGGTAATGTAGTTTTACGGCTTAACGTGCGATTCCATTGTGTTGTGTTGTTGCTGGTTAGGTTACATGATGTTACGGGCAAGCGTAGTGTTTCAACACCAATAACAGCTTTTAAATGCATAACAGTTCGCGTAAAATTAAATTCAGACATGCTACTCATGATATTTAATATCTGGGCAGCCCGTTTTGATAATGTGTGAGGTAAATGTAGGCAATATGATGAATATAATGAGATATTTTGACCATTGACAGTATGACTTCATTGTTGAATAAGATATTATTTTCTGTGAACCATGACAAAATGCAATATTATATTACATGACAAATATGACCCTGCATATCATACAAAGGAGCGCAATAAGAGGCTGCAATTCCTCCTGTGGCCACACGGAGTCAGTGTATAAGCGCAACAAAAATGTTTTTGAACCAATCCACCAGTTAGTTCACCATATGATGAACATTTTCAGTTTTCTTTGTTGATGTTTTTTTTTTTTTTTTTACTGCGGGCTATTGTCTCAGTTGGTCTACTGTAGGAAGTCCTAGGCCTGCTAGAAACTAAACTTTCTTGACATAGACATAATTTCCTAGCTCCAATTATGATTTATTTAAGAAAAAAAGGACAATAGGGAAAGAAACTCATCATATTTCTTGTTATTTTGCCTGTAGGTTTTGGATAAGACTGTCTGCATTTAGCTCTTATACCCCAGCAGGCTCCTGTCTGTGGCTCTGAGACAGCACACAGTTGGTGGTGGGCTGGTCACGTTTCCACACATACCACTCATTCTCAGGCATCCCTCCCTTGAACCACTTCACTCTCTCTCTCTTTCCCTCTTTCTCTCTTTGACCTCTACCTCGATCACTCTTACTACTACTGTGGTTCTGTCAATCACCTCTCAGGCTCTGACCACAAACCATGTACTTTTCATCTGGCCTTCAAAGTTCCTCCATCTGTCATGGTTTAGCAGCAATAATTTAACTTGGAGACAAAGTTCCAATCCAAAGCCAAACACACTTTCTTTTCATAGACAAAATTAATCAAATTTCACTGTTTTTTACCACACAATATCAAAATCTTGTAGCAATAATGTGGTAATCTCTGTGTAATCCCTCACTGTTCATATTAGTAATGATGTAGGCTATCAATAAAAGCCCAAATTACAAAGAGTATGAAATGTAAGATTTGGTTTATTAATGTGCATTGGACAAACAGCTGCAGTTTCAGTAATCTATGGTGGTTGCGAATGTAGTTTGTAGTTTTCTGGCACTAATGTTCAGTATAGACATATAAAACTTTCCACGATATGCGCTGCTATGCTGTAGGAGGACGTGTAGGAGGCAGCCAATTCTGTATTATTTAGCATATTATCACAAACTGAACTCACAAATTGTGCTGCCTCGATTTTATTTAACTTCAAGTACAATTCTCTGTTTCTTCTCTTGTCACTGATTCTGCTGTTGTTAGTTTTGATAGTTCAGTGCTGTTCAGTGAGGTGTTACACTTGAGCTACATTGTTAAATTATTTTACGTTTTATAACAGAATTGGATAATATTTGCAAATCGAGTTGATTTGAATTAATGGCCATAACATTTTACTGTATTTGAGCCATCCCCATTTTATTTATTGTATAACTTATGTCACAACATTTTTATATTTATGTTCTTGTGTGTTTCAGTTCAACAAACATGCTGTAAACAAACTACAAAAAGCGCAGAGCTGGTGAGGTTTTGCCTGGGTGTGTCAGATGAATATGCGTCTCATTCAACAAAGTACCAGACGAAGGTACAGGCATTTACAAATCAATATATCCACACATACATATCCATGTGCTGATTAGCTTTAGATGCTCCATTTAGAGCTGAAGTTTCTAAGTTAAATTTATCTACAATTTTCCATCCTACCAAATTGTCCATATTTCTTTGACCCTTGGGGAAAACTAGGATGTTTCAGGAAAGGATTGGGATTGTGGAGGAAAAGAGGGCAAACAAAGAGCGTGGGAAACAGTGACGTGACACTAAGAAACACATTTAGAAACCGTTTGGTGGGAAAGTCATTACTGGGTCATCGCGCTCAGTACAAAACAGAGATATGAGAGAGAGAGATACATGCAAACTGAGCTATGACAGATTACGGTAAATATCAACATCTACAAATTACAGATCTTTTTTAATGAATTGTTTTAGTTAATTTGAATGAATGAATTATCCAAAAACAATGCTCCATATAAATACTACATTACACTTCCAGATGAGATGCAGAGAAACTTTGTCAGCACATAGAAACATTAGGAAACTCACTGTACATATCTGCTGCCAGAGGTGGGCAGATTATTGAAATAAAAGTTTATAGTTTATTATTTAAAATGCATTTATAACTTTACTTACTGGTTTTGTAGTGCATGCAGTCCTTGGTTGTACGTTACTTCTGGCTGAGTGGTCGGAGTGGGAAGTGATGACATCACGGTCAGAGCATGTGGGTCGTTGGGGAACATGAATATTCACACACACATTATCGGCAGTCTTTGTCTTTGTTTGGAGTTCCTGCGGTGATGCTGTGTTATGTCTATGGCACTGAGGTTTCACTCTCCTTGAATCTTCTTGTGCTTTTCACAGTGTGTTTGTAGCTCATTTGTAGCATTGGGTGAAGGACATCAAGGCGCTCTGCTGTGGTTCTGTGCTGTTGAGAGCATGGCGATGTTATACACTTTACAACATTTGTTAGATAAAATAAAACTGCTTGACATTTAGCATGTTCATTCATTCAGCTAAAAACACTTTAAACCTCTAAACCACCAAACTTTTCTCTAGGGGCCACATTATCGCTCCTGACTGTGATGGGGGACTGAAGTCGGGTGGCCGTGTATGACAAGTTTTTGTACTTTAACACTCAGAATTTTGCTGTCCTTAACTGCACTACAGAACTCTGCACGTGCGTTGACCGTCACTGTTTGATCTTGCGCTTGTCAGGTGAATGAAAATTTGGCGACAAATGTAAATACGTCATATAATTATTCAAATATAAATATAAAAACATAATATAAATATATATTTTAAATTGAAAAAGCAAAACAAAATGCAATTATTTGCCAAAAAGTAATAAAAAAATAGGCCGTGACAACTTTTGAGGATTGCCTCATAGGGCCAGTTTAAGCGGTGGGGAGCAAAGGGGCATGGAGGGCCTTAGTTTGATGACCCCTGCTCTAAACCTTCAATCTATAGTAGGGGTGTAACGATATCCAAGTCTCACGATACGATATCGTCACAGTATGAACCTCATGGTACGATATTTATTGCGTTATTTTGTGGAGGCTAACGAAACTGTTAATATGCTACTTTTTCCTCTTAAAATGCCTTGACAAGTCTTAATCCTGACTTGCTGCACCATAACTCTTAATTTAAGCAAAGAGATTTGTGGCTTCGATATATTGTGATGGTCCACGATATTATTATGAGAAGTTTGACGATAAGATATCTCGATATTTTGGTTATTGTTACATCCCTAGTCTATAGGCTACTTATTGTAAAGTGATCCACCTCATATGTCTCAGTTTTCTCCTTTCTTCATTTTTTCCCTTCTATGAGCTGCACTGCAAACCACACGACTATTGTGATTTCATTTTCATGTCAGATCTTTCTTGAGATGCACTGTTCTCTCTACATGTGGGTAGAATTTTATACAGCTGTTATAATGTTTATGTTTTATAAAATGACCAAAAAGTAAATGCATATGTCTCTATGGCATGACCCAGAGGCAACTGAACCTTTTTTCATCAACAACCTCATATTGAAAGACCAGACATAGACCAGTGGTAAATCAATATTTTGGATTGGTGCATTTAACAGAGCCACCGTATTGTTAATTCAGGCTTAGTCTATTCATTTGATGTCTGTATCTGTGATTCTATTTAACGTTTAGGGGTAGAATATGATCTTTTTGGACAATATAGACTTGAGGGTAAACAAAATTGGTCTTGAAATTAGGCTACATACGACCCCCAGTCCATAATATATTACCACCACTATAAAAAACAATTTATTCCAGGGCAATGGAGTAGTTTGCTGCTCTTACTACATACATAGACACAATAGAAGAGATAAAAACTGTCCACTATTGGGCTACCTTGGTCTCAAAATTCCTTGATGTGCATGTTTGCAGTCCAGTTCCTAACCCAGACAATAGCAGTTTAAATCCCCTAAACTCTAATTGCATATTATTTGGTCATTAGTATCTAGTCAGCCATATTTATGTCTTCCCTTTGACATTACCTTGACCATTAAGTGCCCACTGCAGACACTGTAAACCATAATCATTTCGTACAGAGCTACAAAAACTATTATCTTGTCTGGCTTTTGATTATAGCCTTCCCCCTGACCTGCCAGTGCTTTATTTAGGCCATAATCAGCTCCTCGTGTTGCTACACCAAATAATGCTGATGCTAAACCAATTTAATGTTGCTATATTTCATCACCATTTCATTGCACGAGGGACGAGGAGAGGCTTAATACTTGCGGTTTAATCTGGCAGAATACACCGGACAGAATGACTTACCCGGTGACCGCTAATGGCTTTTACTAGTCCATTGAGTGAAAGTTACCCCCCCCACCCTTACTTCCAGGCCCACAGCTGGGTGCTCGGGCTGCTCGGACTTTGACAGATGGTCCAATGGGACGCTGGAGACCGTGGGAGGGAGGAACCAGGGGACCATAGGCAAAGATGGATGCATGATGATGAGGGGACAATGCTAATGTGCAGAGAAGTGAGTGGAAGAATAGGGTTATAAAGGCCTGCTGCTGACTCCGCATGAGCTCTCATAGATATTCACACAGTACAGGAAACCAGTTTAATTTCGATGCCAATTTAATCTTGTATTTGGATTATAACCACACATTATAAACAAAAAGACAAATGTAATTAATGCAGAGATTCATTTAGTTCAGAGGAAGAGAAAACCAGCTTTTTATTTTTTCTGAAGTGAAATCCTAATCTTTATTTTTCTTATATCAAGCTCGCCCGTCTAGACTACAATACAACAATTTATTACAGAACAGTTAACGTCTGACAGAAAGCATGTTTCAGACACTTGACAGTTCAATAGCAGGCATGTTATTCTTGGACAGAAACATAAGCCATGATAATAGTACAATATAATAAATAGTCATTCCACATCTGTGTTATGTTACCAACATTATGTAATAACTGTAGAGTCTAGAACTGATTCCTTGTATTCGACTCAAAGCTGTTCAATAATGAAAACACAAATGCTGTGTAAATGACAGTGCTCTTTCAGTCCAAACGAGGTGGTCGTGTTGCGCCATTTGCCAAACCTTAATGAATATAATCACTGTGCAACTCCCCGTTTGGCTTTAGCATCCAAACAAACCAAACCACACTCCAGACCACTTTAATGAGCAATTGAGCATGAAACCCCGCCCCCCGAAGCATGCGCCCGCCCCCCAGAGCCGCTCCCTCCGCTCCGAGCTCCTCATGAGCTGCGCCCGTCTCAAAGAAACCCCCGCGAAAAGAAAGCGGCGCACAGACAATGTATGTTCACACTGCCTCCGGTACAGACTGTCAAAATAAGAAAAGTCTTTAAGTCAGGGGTCTACAACCTTCTACCCCTGGACACAAACAGGTGATAAATCACATTTAAATAATTCAGTGTAATATAACTCCTACATCCTTTGGGGAGATAGTTGGAATGGGCTGGAGAGCTTTTGGTAGCTCCCAAGCTACAGGTTGGGGAGCCCTGCTTTAAGTCATATAAGTTCAATTAGGGGTAATTTCAAATATGTTGAGCTAAATAATAAGACTACATAGTCCGTGGGGAAATTTGTCCTCATGTATTTGACCAGTCCTTATTTGCTGAGGATGCTGCTGGGGTCAGGGCAGACTGACCGCACAGTGGTCACTGTCAGAGTCAGGACCTGTCCAATACCTGATTGTTCTGTGGACATTGTGCCTTTAAGTTTATGGGGGAAACCTTCTAATTCAGAGTCTGGATTTGGGTGGATATAGGCCCACAATTTTGTACAGTTGAAATGGGAATAATCTTTTGTTCATAATTTATGATTTTGGTGATGGGTGACACTCAAGTCTATCTCAATGGGACAAAAAGTTCTGACACTAAGAGCATATTCCTTGATAATACAGTAGAAGCAGCTCTGATAAAATAAAGGAATAAGTAAATAAAAAATAAATACATATTTTTTAAAACGGGAAAAAAGTGCATGTGTGAACAAGTAAACAAGTGTGAACTAACCTATGTTCACCATCTAACCTATGTTTTATAAAAACAAAATATAATTCTGTGCGTGATGTAATTTGATTTGTTTTAGTTAATTTACTCGAATGATTTAGTTCTTTGTGTGTGTGTGTCTGTATGTTTCCATGTGCTCGTCGTTAGGACCTTTACTTTGGAGGGAGCCTTTAGTTCCTGTACAGTGTTTGTGAATCACGCGCGCTTGACTTCCTGAAAGATTGACAGCTTGAACCGCTCGGTTATTATTAGTGGAAGGGAGCTCTCCGTTGTGTGCGCCAGGCAGTCACTCCTGCTCTACGAGAGCCTTTTCTCGGATTTACCCGTGTACTTTTCTACAAGTTCGCCTCGACAGGACTCGGTGTGGAGTCTGAACGCACCCACGGGGCATGAAAGTGCGGCGGGCGTTTGAAAGAAAGTAAAGAGGAGGCTGACGCTGCGTTTGATGGCTGCTGGGGATGGAGCCCAGCTGCCGGCCACAGTAGCGGCCAGCCGGAGCGTGGAGAAGGCGCTGGAGGAGGCTGCAGCCAGCGGGGCTCTCAACTTAACCAACCGCAAACTGAAGGAGTTTCCCCGGAGCGCCAGGAACTACGACCTGTCCGACATTACACATGCAGGTCGGTGCGCTTTCTCCTCTTTTAGAAAAGCATTTGTAAAAGCGTGCGCTTCTGGTGATATCAGCCTTTGTTTTATCGCCACCTGCCTCTTTCTTCTTCTAACGGGAACGCACGCCCCCTTCTCGGCCCACGTTTCACAACACCCCTCCTCAAATGGACTCCTCTCTGGGGGTTTGTGGACCTGCCTGTCACAACTTTACACCGTCTTTTGTATGACTAACACTGTACTGTAATTCTGTAGAAGAAATTCTTGTGCTTGTGGTTAGATTTAGCTGAAATCATAGACCGTATGACGAATATATGGTCTATGGCTGAAATACAGGCCTAATTGTCATGGCTCCAGACCTTTTCACCATTCACTCTCAAGGGTCACTTGACTTTTCAGCCCGAAATTTCTTTTTAAACCCAATCCAAAATGGGCTCCCATTTATTGATTTCATGATGTCTGTGGTTAGGAGTAGGCTACTTTCATGTCACATTTCCTATTTCCTCATTCTAAACAAAGCCATCCTTCGCTGAAATCAGAAAACAGAAAGTTCCTCATCTTCTAAATAAGTTAAAAATAAAATGAAGTTAAGATAGGTTTTAGACTGATACTTGTGCCTTCTTGTACTTGTCTGACTGACAGGTTTGCAGACCCAACGTGGCACCCTCCATGGCACACTCTCACTGAGCAATTTCCTGATTATATGCCACTTAATGTCTATTAGTTTGCCTGCACAGGAAACCAATAGACGGTATCTGGAGTGGAGATCTTTACAGTGAGGTGAGACTGTAGGCTTCCTCAGCTTTTCCCTGCTCTACAGAGGATTACCCCGGGTTGGAGAAATCAATCCAGATTTGTTACTTAAAGAGGCACTCATGCTATTTACTTCTTTTGGGCTTCAGTAATTATGACCATCTGCTGGGAACATGCTTGGTGTTGGCCTTGTGGGATAAAAAGACCTTGAACACATTGGTATGAACAGATCAACACCTGCTAACTGGTAACCCTATGCTAATGACTGTGATATTTCATACCTGTGCTAATTGCAGCTTGATTATAATGTGTTTATCCATAGGTGAAAGCTGGCATAATTTCATAAGTCGATTAGCGTTGCGTTGTTTTAAACAGTTTGGGTGCTATGGGAGTTCCACATAAGTAAGTTTCAGGAATCCTACAGGAAGTGTTTAATGGGTTCCAAGAATGGTTGTGAGGATGGGCGTAAGAGGGGTCTGCTGCTGTTATTTTTGACCATACTATTAATAAAAGATACTATTGAGTACTTTTAGATGGATGTGAATATTTGAGAGCTTTGGCGTGACTGATGGGGTCTCATAGATGTCTGCTTCTCTCGCCTGTTCATATAGACAGTAGGGGTGTGCAAAAATATCAAAATATCCATATACCGTATCGTTTAATGTGATGATACATAGAGATATAACGATATTCAAATCTCTTGGTACGATATTATCACGATATGCATCTCACAGTATGATATTTATTGCGATAATTGTAGATAAAATGCTTTTTTGCTTTTAAAATACCCTGACAAGATTTTGTGAATTATTATTGTCATAATACAATAATAACAAGTAAAACCATATTTTTTGATGTTGTCTGCGCTGAAATGAATCATGGGATATGTAGTTCCCAGTGTTTATTAGCTATCACTACTATAAAATAAAACATTTACACAAAGGAACTTATAATTTGATATATTGTGACAGCTCGCGGTATTACTGTGAGACTTTTGACGATACGATATCGCAGTATTTCGGTTATTGTTACATCTCTAATGATACAGTATCGCTAATGTATAAATATATTGCCAAGAGTATTTTTGGTATATTTTACTAAATTATTTTGTTACAGCGCTATAGTTTTGTTGCTTGTTTGGAAGAAGGAAACTCATTTATGTAATACATTTCACATAATCACTGTTCTGATGAGTAAAATGGGCGTGTTTTATTTTAACTTTGCACAAGACGTGGTTTAACAAAGACTCTTAGTATCACAGCCATGATTTTTTTTATTGAACCGTATCGAATCGATTTGAAATATATCATATTGTATTGAAAGTTCACTTTGTCGAGATATGTATTGTGTCATGGTCCATGTATCGAGGTACGTATTGTATCAGCAACTTCTTAATGATACCCAACCCCAGACAGCATTTTTGTTCATGTTCATGGTATGTTATATAAGTTGGATAATGCTATAATATGCCTATGCTTGCACAGTGCATAGTTTTAGTAAAGTAACAAAGGAGCAGTCTATTCTGGGAGTATAACAATATCCAAATCTCATAGTACTATATTATTTCAAGGGATGCATTGATCCGATACTGATTGGATATAGGCCCTATTCACGCCTACGTCCCAAACCAGGAAGACGTTTGCATGCAATGACAACTTCCAGTGGACTCTCTTCGCTGTAGTAAGAAAATGGCCCAGTTTTCTTCATCTCCATGTCATTGTAGCGCTCCATTATGTTTGACTAATCAACAATTATAACCGTACTTCAGTTTTCATCATTTCCACACTGACACACAACTCCAAGCGCACTGGGTACATGCGATTAGATGAGACAAATTCAAGATTATTCATTTACTTCAATGGGACGCAGTGGGTCGGTGAGTCCAGTGTCGGGAACTACACTAGAAGTCGTCACTCCATGTTTCCAAACGTCTACCTGGTTTGTGACATAACGTGAATAGAGCCTATAGAAGCAGATACTGAAAAATTTGTTGGATCGGATAACTGCTTTCAAATATCAGCCGATACCCTGGTTCTTTGTCCATTTTTGTTGACAAATCTGATTAAATAGTCCCAACCACAACCACATTTTTCTACATGTGACAATAGGAGTCCTGATCTACTCTACACTGCTTGTTCGGCACCAAAGTCTTGTCAACTGGGGTCTTAAAATACAACCTCATATATTGTGGTAGTAGCAGAGTGAGCTGAGGCGACACATTCTGGCCGGTGTGGTGACAGACAGAATATATTTGGGTTGTCTCCTGCTGCTGACATCACGTATTCCCAGTGGCACAGGCTGATTCAGTGCTTATTTTGTGCGCTCTAATTCCATCCCCGACTCTTCCGCAGCTCGATAGTAGACATTTTCAGCTGATTACATGTCTGTGGAGCAGCCAGGCCCTATTTGGCTAATGTCTACAATTGAAGTAATGAAGCACTCTCTGCCTCTCCCCGTCCGTGTAGGTGGTTTTCACAGTTGTCCTGATTCACCCATGTGTCAGCCTGTTCTTCAGGTGTATTCTTGTTCAGGCTGTTTCAGTGGAGAGTACAGAATTGCATTGAGTATGTTTGTGGTGTACAATCCATGCAAGAGTGTTTAACCATCTTGATTTACACCATTTCCTTAGTCATTTATGCTTAGTGTCCTGATGCAAGTAGTATGGCTTTATTTACTAAAAAAAAACAACATTGAATAGATCTAAATGAAGTGATTCTGTATTGGTTATAGAGCTGTATTATTCACAAAGTGCCGATACGATACATACCTCGATACAGAGGGCTTATGATTCAATCTGATTCGATCCGATGTATTTCAAATCAATTCAATATGGTTCTATAAAAAAATCAAGGCTAAATCATTGCTGTGACACTAAAAAATCTTTGTTATACCACTTCTTGCTAAAAGTGAATATGAAACACCCTCATTTTAATCATCAAAACAGTGAAAATGTCAAATGTGTTGCATAAATGTGTCCTCTAAACAAGCAACAAAACTTTAAGATAATTTAGTAAAATATAACAAAAAATACAGCAGCCCACGATATCGATACTGCATCATCACATTAAACGAAAGACTTATTGATATTTCAATATGTTTGCACACCCCTAATTGGGTAGTTCGTTACTCTGGTGACCTATAACCTTCCTTCAGTCATCAGAAGTCAAAAATAGCTGAATTACGCAATAAGCTCTTTTTCTGTTCTCAGTCCCTTTGTCTTTATAATGGTAGACTGGCCCTGTAGCATTGAAGATATTAAAGGATTGCCTATATTTTTGTCTGCTATTTGTCAGCTTACGAATACATAGGCCCACCAACTGAACACAGGTTATTAGGGATGTAACAATAACCGAAATATCGTGATATTGTATTGTCAAAGTTCTCACAATAATATCATGGACCATTACAATATATCAAATTATAAGTCTCTTGGCTTAAATTAAGAGCTATGGTGCAGCAACAGCTAAAAAAAAAAAAAAGACAAGAGGGAACTACATAGACCATGATCCTTTGCTCCATTTCAGTGTAGACTTCAGGAAGAAATAACAGTTCTAAGCACTTTTATGTCTTAGTTCTTTGGATTAAGTCTTGTATAAAAGGAAAAAGTGGCATATTAACAGTTTTGTTAGCCTCCACAAAATACCGCAATAAATATCGTGAATATCGTGGAAATATTGTACTGAGAGATTTGGATATTTTTACACCCCATATTGTGAGCTTTCCTACGATATCGCAATAAATATCGTACCATGAGTTTCATACTGTGACGATATCGTATTGTGAGACTTGGATATCGTTACACCCCCACAGGTTATCCATTATTTCTTCAATCTGTCATTTGGCTGATATTTGTACCTCTGCATCGCTTCCAGAATCTAATATTTTGTTTGGGCCAATTAGATGTATTAAACAACATGAAGAAAGCTTTATTTGAACACTTTAACATGAAGAGACAGCTGCACAAAACATGACTACACCGTTCTCACATCGAGTTAAAACAGGTTTGTGCACTTTCTAGTCATTTGAAATCATATCATTTGGGGAATATAATCAAGACCGACCTTGCATATCAGGCAGTAAAAGCTAATTGAGTTTGTATTCATTTGCGTGTCAGTGTATATTTTCTGACAGGTTGAAGGTGCTATGCCAGTTGGTTGGGCAGATACCTCCCATCACCGCTGTATTTCTGCTTACACACTGTAAGGAGCCCAGTGGAGCTTGAAGGAAACAAAGCTCTACATCATTCCTGGGGCTAATTAGT